ATAGAGCAATGCTGTAGTAGGGATGGCTAACAGCGATACCTTTCTTTTGTCAAGTGGGAAAAGGTGGCTGAGAAAGGGAGACCAACGTGAAGCCCAGAGAGCAGGCACCTTAGGGGGATCAATTTTAAGATGAGGAATGCAAGTTGAAGATCTTAACAATGATTCCTTTAAAAACCTATAAAACTTTGGAAAGGTTTTTTGTGCCAAAGTTTGAGGACCATTGATTCAAGTCATGCAACTAATTCCTCTGGCTGATTTGCTTTCTCAGTAAGGAGCCCTCTGATTTTAATGTCATTTGGATGTCCTCAGGCCTATGGGTAATACGCAGGTCGCATTAACAGTAACAGTTCAAACTGCACTTCACTTCGTCCCCACCTGCTGACAAACCTCTCATCCTTTGCAAATTCTACCTACTTCACCTGTCATCCAAGATCCCAAGTAATGGCTCTTCTTAAGTTTTCACAGATAAATCCACATGGCCAGTTTTCATCTCTCACTGGGCAAAGGCACCAATGCATCACAGCTGTACTTTCACACTTTCACATATTACAATGTACTGGAAATGAATCAAATGTAAGTCAAATTTTGGAAACCAAAAAAATATATTGTTGTTTTGCTAAGTAAGTATCTTTTAAAATACCGCACATTCTCAGCATTGTTTAACTTGCGCAAGAAAATTTCAAATATCTTAGAATGATTCCTCTTATGACATATTTGAAGCTCACAAAAGATTATATGCAATATATATATATGTTACTAGGTAAACATTAAAATGAAAATCCAGGAACCCCTTACTTAGTTTAAAAACTAAAACATTACTAGCAGCATTTGCATGCTCTGTTTCCATCCCATCCCCTTGCCTTTCTCCCAGAGACAGTCACTATTTTGAGTTTTGCTCTTAGCACCCTCTTCCATTTTAAATAGAAGCTTTTTATCACACGTACATATTCCTAAACAATAGATTGTTTAGGTTTTTCTTATTCAGCTTTGGAAAACTTTAATATTATATGTACTCCTCTGTAACTTGATTTCTTCATTCAATATTTTCAAGATTCAGTTATAATGTTACATACATCCATGGTTTACTTATTTTTACTGACATATTTTATTGGGTACACCATCACAATTTCTTTAATCCATTGTCCTGAAATGAACATTTGGATTGTTTTATATTTTTGCTATTACAAACATGTTGCTGGTACACATTTATAAGAATTTCCCTAAGTATATACGTACCTGAGAATGGAATGGCTTGGTGTACCAAATTTTTCCAAAGTAATTGCACAAATTTACATCACCTCCATCAGTGTATAATACCCTTTGACTTGTAAATTCACCAGTCTTTAGTATTATCAAACTTCTTAATATGTACCGATATGAGTAACTATAAAATATTGTCTTGTTGGGCTCTTAATCTGTAAATTGCAAATTTGCAAATTTACAGATTAAAATTGATAATAAAGTTGAGCAACTTTTCATGTTTTATTTGCCATTTGGGTTTATCTCCCACAATATGTCTACCATAACATTTGACCAATTTCCAGTTGGATTTTTACTGATTTGTAGTTCTTTATAATATAATCTAGGTACTAATTATTTTTCGGTGGTGGGTACATCTTGAATATAACCAACTCTATTCACATAAGCTTGTCTCATTCAGTTCTCAGGTATTGTACATCTGCCCATAGATGCTGATGTTTCCTTCCTATAGTAACAGTGCCTCAAGTTTGTGTGGATAACTAGTTTACAAAGCACTCTCACAAATCTTATCTCATTTGAGTCTCCCAACAACTTTTTAAAAACTAGCTGGGTATTATTATAGTTGTTTTATAGATAAGGACACTGAGTGGCTTGCCCAAGGTCACAGAGCTAATACGTCCTCAGATTCTGTATTCCATATCCTCTTTATGATTATATGATGCTTCTGCTGTTTGTAGATTACTGCCTCATCATTTAAGCAAATGCTGTACTTCTGCTTAGCATCTTTACTTCAGTGTCCTTTCTTTCTTCCCCCTCTTTTTGTATATAATTCAAAATATAGCTCTAGTATATGAAGTTCATTTTATTTTTTTTATTTATTTATGATAGTCACACAGAGAGAGAGAGAGAGAGAGGCAGAGACACAGGCGGCACAGGCAGAGGGAGAAGCAGGCTCCATGCACCAGGAGCCCGACATGGGATTCGATCCCGGGTCTCCAGGATCGTGCCCTGGGCCAAAGGCAGGCGCCAAACCGCTGCGCCACCCAGGGATCCCTGAAGTTCATTTTAAATGCATTACCTACAAGATAACAGATGAATAAAGGAAGCACTGAGAGAATTTTTAAGAGAGTCTAGAAGGATATTAGAAACCACAACAGTTATCTGTTCCCGGACAAACCACATTTTTAAACATAATGGGTCTATTATGTACTGATTAAGTTCAGTATTTTCCTTTCTTTTGGCCTTTGAGAGATTTAAAAAGATGAATGCAGGGATTAAGAGAAGAAAAATTTGCTTTGATAGTTATTAGTATTATCTAAATTGGCTGCCCTATGTCAAATACTGATTTCATATTTATTATTAAATATTATCTATTTGTTATATTAGACATAACAAATACTTACAACTAGTCTTATGTGTTGAACCTATCATGGGAAGTAATATTGGTAGAACAGTAATCCCATCATTCACCTTTCATTTGAAGCTTTTACACCTGGACTATTGGGTGGGCATCCATTGACTGTGGGAGCCCAAGGAAGGTGTTAGCAGCTCTCAAATGAGAGATGCCCAAATGCTATTTTTCAAAGAGCTGAAACAGTAAAAGATTATACTTCTTACTTTCTGGGAGTGGTTAAGTTCATTCATTCATTCATTCTTAAGCTAATCAAACTACTCATGTGAAATCTTTAACCTTTTGGTAGTTTCCATTTCTTTTTATGTACACCACATACACCAGAGAAACCTATGTTTGATGTAGCTACCAGAAGGACCTGGGGATAAATAAGGAAACAACATTTCTGCTCTGAGGTATTTTAATCACCATATAATAGTTCTATCTTAAGCACTTCCTGGACACATCCCTTGATGAATAATAAAGAGATAGGACTACATCATATCTTCTCCAAAGAGAAAAGTCTTTAATAGCAACTGTCAATTCCACAGATAATTACTAAATATGGTTTTTCTAGATCTCTTTCTTCAAGTATTATAAATAAATGCATCTCCAGTTAGTATTTACTCATCAAACATTCCTACAACCGTGTCCAATTTAAAACTGGTTGGCTTGCCTCTGTTTCCATGAAGTGATGGCTTCTATAAGTATTTTGCTTCGAGTCTGAGGGCTGTGAGTGTTATATGAAAAATAATATATGTCTGATGATGTGCTCCCTGTATTTCTTTTATGAGTCAGGGACTCTATAAGGCTCATGCAGCTCACTTTGAGTAGGGATAATTATACCACAAAGTGGTGAGCATAAGAGAGAGGTGTGCATTGGGGGAAGGGTACCTAATGACTTTGGAATTCAGATCTGTGTTTGGAGAGAATGAGGTGAACTCATTGTGTTGGTAATTTTGAGCTGTACGTATTTTATAGTTGTGTGTAAGGATATGGGTCATTTCTAATGACCCATACATTCCTAATGTAAGGGAACTGTCATTCCTAGCTGGGCAGCTTCTAGTATCATCTATTCCAGAGGGCCTCAAAGAAGCAAATTACCTATTTGAGAGGATGGGCACTCTTCATATTTTCAGAAGTAAATCTCCAAGCCAACTGCCTAAAAAAGAGCCTTGTGGATAATGTGACCATACAATCTAATACTCACTTTGGACAGGTGCAAGACTGGTGGGACACTGGGACAACACACCTAAGCAGGGAATGTCCCAGGCAAAAAATAATAATAGATAAATAAATAAATAAATAAATAAATAAATATATATATATACACACACACACACACACACACACACACACACACACACCCAATTATGGAAGGAAAAGTGCCTAAAGCCTTCTATGAGGTGATGGTGGGAGAGAGATGATTTGGTTCATTTTGCACTGTGGAGAAAAGAATGTCAGAAGTCAAGAGAAGAGTCCTGGGCAGCCCGGTGGCTCAGCGGTTTAACGCCGCCTTCAGCCCAGGGCATGATCCTGGAGACCCGGGATCGAGTCCCATGTTGGGTTCCCTGCGTGGAGCCTGCTTCTCCCTCTGCCTGTGTCTCTGCCTTTCTGCCTCTCTCTCTCTCTCTCTCTGTGTCTCTCATTAATAAATAAATAAATAAATATAATCTTTAAAAAGAGAGAGAGAGAGGAGTCCTGTTGTCTTTTCAAGGATAAGTCGGGATAGGCCAGGACACGGGATTGTAAGGACCTTACAAAGGGCCTGAAATCTTCAGCACTCTAGTTTTTAAAGATTCCATACCTTCCCAATATGATTAATAATAAAAGCCTTTAAGGAGTCTTTGTTTCGGATTTTAGGGACAGCCAAAAATGGGGCTCTGGGAAAAGACTACTTCACTCTGCCATCACCTTGGATGATGATCCAAGGTGGCTTGGTGGGGAAGGAGTAACGACGAGAAAGTATTTTGCAAGAAAAGAATGGACTACTTTCAGAAAGAAGTCTTTGCCAGAAGAACAGACCACTTGGGCGTGCGTGGTGGGGGATCTGCAATCACAGAGCAACTCCTGGGGCTAAGAAAACACCTGTGAGACGCCAACGGTATCTCACCAGCCGGCCTGACCGAGTGACCCCGGCCGACCTGGCCGTGCGCGCCGGGACCGGGCCACAGGCACCTGCTGCCACGTGCGTCCGCGAGCCGCCCGAGAGCCCGCGGGGGGCAGCCCGCCTGGGGCCGCGCGGCGCCGGCACCGGGACGCGGGGAGAACGCGCTCCGCGCCCGCCGGGGACGCGCCTCGCACGCCACCAGCACAGACCCCGCGGGGTCGGGCGCTCCCCGCGCCGCCCTGCCCACTCGGGCCGCGGGCCCGCCCACACCCCAGTCGCTGCCTTAAGCCGGCCGGCCGCTCCCGGCTCCCCGCTCCCCCGCCGCTCCCCGCTCCGAGCCCCCCGCGCGTGCGCCCTGCGGCTGGAAGCCCCGCGCCCCTCCCCCCGCGGCCCGACTTGGTACGGCCCGGACGGCGGTTGGCGTCCTCCGCGGCCCCGGCGAGCGGCGGGCTTTTCAAATCTCACCTTCGGAGGAGTGGCGGCGGCCCCGGCGGCGGCGCTGGACATGGAGGGGCCGAGCGGGAGGGGCCCCGAGCTGCGCCTGGCGGGCCTTCCCGCCCAGCAGGTGAGTCTGGCCTGGTGGTCGAGGCCCCGTGTCTCGCCTTCAGCCGCGGCCGGAAACAGGGAAGGGCCGCGAGGCCGCCCTTGCGAGGCTCCACGGGGCCCGAGGTCTCCTCAGCCGCCACGGCCCCGACCTCTCCCGGAGGAGGCGCGAAGGGAAAGCGGTGGAGCCCGCCGGCGCGTCCGGGCGCACCTGCCCGCAGCTCCCGCCGCCCTCCGGGGCTCGGACCCCCCAACCCCGAGGCGACGCGGGGGGCGGGGCATAGAGGCTCCGGCCTGCGCGAGCGGCGCGCCCGAGGCCCGGGGAAGACGGTTTGCTCGACGGGAACACGAGCCCTGGAGCCGCGGCTCCTCAGCACAGAAATTTGAGAGGGCGGGGTCGGAGGAGCGACCCGCCGCCCGGGAACTTCAGGAAAAGGTGCTTTGATGGTGGGTGGGCGCTTCTTGAATTGGGTAAGAGGGGAGTTTGCTGTTTCGCCGTGTAAAGCGTGCGTTAGAGACCCTTTTACTTCACGGAGACCAACATTTTTTCCCCCTTAGGGAAATCAGTCCTTAAAATGTTACATTTGCCCCTTAACCGTGACTTTAGAGTCTTAAAACTGCTGTCATCAAGCTGGATCTTCACTTCTATTTTAACCTCCACCTTCTCTTACCTAATTCTGAGAAAGATTAGACCCTATGAAAATGCCAGCTTTGTAGGTCAAAATTGGTAGGCTATTAGCAATTTTATATGCTCCAGCCTATTACCTTTGCTTAGAAACCTATTATCTTTTTTTTTTGAGACCTCAAGTAGATACAAAATTGTTAAGAAATCTTCAATGATACTGAGAAAAATAAAGCAAGACATTAAGAGTCGTTATGCAGAGAAGTCTAACTCCTTTATTAGTAATGCTGTTTTTGAATTGCCGGCATTTTCAAAAATTTCAGACATTCTGATGTAAGATACTTTTTTTTTTTTTAAGATTTTATTTATTTATTCATGAGAGACACACACACACAGAGAGAGAGAGAGAGGCAGAGACACAGGCAGAGGGAGACGCAGGCTCCATGCAGGGAGCCTGATGCAGGACTCGATCTTGGGACTCCAGGATCTTGCCCTGGACCGAAGGCGGGCACCAAACCGCTGAGCTCCACCCCCCCCAGGGCGCCCCCCCCCACCCCACCCCCAGGCTGCCTAAGATAATTCTTTTCTGTCCTGTCCCTTTTGTACTTTGGCTGTCTCGATTGTTAACAAAATCTTGATTTCTAGTGAATTGGCAATTTGTTGAGGTTCTCGTGTGTGTTACACAGGTGTTTGTATAGTCGTTCAAGTAAATTTAGCTGCTTGTGGCAGTAATATTTAGGAATTATACAAAAGAGAGAAGAGGATAAGGTCATGAAAGAAGCTACATGGAATGAAAATAAATATTTAAATATACACAACGGCTGGATTATTTACATGTGAGAAAGTGTAATATTTAATGATTTTGAGGCATCAAGAAAATAGTTGAGTTGTGGAGTTCCTTCTGTTTGGATCTTGGATAAAAATTACAAAATAGTAATAGGTTTCAACCTAGTGTTTGCTGTTTTTCTTTTGATCTTAATGAACCTGCCATCTAATAGGGATATGACCAAAGATTCTTGAGGTAGTTGGAACACTAGTAAAAAACCACTACTTAAACCTTGGAGTCATCTGTGAGTACACACAGCATAGGGTATTCTATGCTTTGGAGTCAGATTAAGGTCAAATCCAACTCTGCTTGTTGTACAAAACCTTGAATACATTACCTGCTATTTCTAAATCCTTGGATTCCACAGTTGTGAAGTGGGTAAAATGCTTATTCCAGAAAGTTGCTGGGAATTGAGAACCTCTTTAAAATACTTAGCATAGTACCTAACACTCAGAATGTGCTTGAGAGAAAGCTATTTTCTTACTATCTTTTGTCCCATTCACCTGAGATGTTTGGGCAGCAGGCCAAATCCAAGGACCCATAGGGGTCTTGTAGGACCAGCCAAGAGGGTTCTTGGCTTCCTACAGGATGGAAACCCTACATGACCCACAGGAGGTGAAATAGTTTATTGAAGATAACAGAGAGAGCAAATACAGATGAATGTCCAGGAGACTTGGAAAGAAAAGGAGCATATGTCTTAGTTTGGGGCCTGGAAGTTTTATTGAGGATGATGGTCTGGTGTATGTGTCTTCTCAGGCATCCAGAAAACGATTAGAACAAAGATTAGTACCCAAAGTGTCATTGCTGGGAGAGGGGGGTGGGGGTGGGTGTCTTCGCGTCAAGATGTCTAGCACTGGTAGTCTGGAACACACATACGGTAGATTCCTCCAGACATTTTCATCTGGTTCTTCCTTAGATGTTATCTGTTCTAGAGAAATCATAAGTTGCTTCCCGTACAGGGAGGATGTGCATTATTTGCACTATAAGCCATGTGTAAAGTGGGGTGTGGGTACAGGTCCTAGCAAGAATGGAAGCAGGAAAAGGAGCAAAAAGATTTTTATGGAGTCCTTCAGTTTCCTTGTCTCATTATCTCATTTCAGTAATATATACAGAAACATGAATTTAAGAATTATTTCTCTAATGCCATTCCCCAGAATGACCACTATTAATGATTTCTAGACTTCTTCTGTACATAACCAATTCTTAAAATAACACACCATTTCTTTTTTTTTTTAATTTTTATTTATTTATGACAGTCACACAGATATATAGAGAGAGGCAGAGACACTGGCAGAGGGAGAAGCAGGCTCCATGCACCGGGAGCCTGACGTGGGATTCGATCCCGGGTCTCCAGGATCACGCCCTGGGCCAAAGGCAGGCGCTAAACCGCTGCGCCACCCAGAGATCCCCACACCATTTCTTTTACAAGGATGTATGCTATATATACCCTTGCAGTCTTTTTCATCATGGTCTCTTAGCTAACATGGTTTACCTATATCCATTAGGTGGGTGATAGCTTCTATATGGATCACTACAGTTGTCTTAGTGGCAGTGCAACATTTTTTTTTTTTTTAAGTTGGCACTTAATTTCAAAACTAAGGCCATTTTCTTCGCATTTCCTTTGTTCCATTCTAGGTCTTCAAACCTAGTATAATCTAGATTTGCACTTTTAAGTTCTTTCCCTATTTCATTTTTAGCCTTATTCTGTCTGTTAATTTTTATCAGCCTGACTTTAGATACTTACGTGATAAGGACCGTGCCATAAGCCTCTGTTTGACTTATAAGGAAGCTCTTTAGAAAATTGAAGAAATGGCAAGAAGAAGATTTTTCTTTGCTTTTTCTGGAGACTTGCTTTTAGACACTTCTACAAGGGATGGATATATGCTTTTGTCTTGAGTCCTACTCGGTCTTGACTCCGCCATTATGGTTGAGGCAGGAGCAGTAAAGATTTTAGCTCCCTACTGTTCCACTCCGAGGTTAGTAAACATCATCCTTAAATGCTCAATTTGTGCCCTTATTAGATGATCATTGTTCTCACTGTGGATTAACACATCAACTCTTACCCCAGGAGCACTTTGTACACCTTACTAACCAAAATTAAGTTCTTTGATTCCATATAGACTTTCTTGGCTGGAGTCATCACTTGACCAGAGAGGTTTTCTCTGTGTGTGAAGTACAAATGTGTACTAAAAGAAGTTGCATGGAGAATACAAAACTGGCTAACATCATGGCTCTTTTTTTTTTTTTTTTTTAAAACCCCGGTACATTCGAAAGCATCCATACACTTAACAGTTCATCTTCCTCATGTCAGCCCTCCCAGATCCACATCTGCTCACTGTAGAATAGGGGAGATGAGGTTATAGTTAAATATGTATGTAAATTTGGTTGGGTTAGAGCTCAGCAAACTATATCTGTAAAAGAACAGAGAGTAAATATTTTCAGCTTTGTGGACCACATGGTCTTAGTTGAAATTACCTCTGCAATTGTAGTTTGAAAGTAGCCTTAGATCATACAAGTGGGCATGACTGTACCACACAGTACAAGTTTATTTACAAAAGACAGGCATTGACTGGGCTATAGTTTACTGATCTCTGCTCTAAAGGATAGAATTCTAATATTAATATCTATTAGATAGATCTCATTTCCTTAATGAATATTTAATCTCACAGATAAGGTGACTTAATAAACAAGCCCTAACTTTGCATTTCATTTCTGCACTATTTCCCAAGCCTCTATAATTTTAATGTCTTTATCAGTGAGGGATGAGAAGACAATCTTCATTTATAAGATGGAAACCCAGGAAGCCCAAACTGATTCTTTAATGTATTTGTGGCCACCTACTGGCTCCTTAAGATTGTTGCAACTCTCCAGATTGTGATGGAATTTCAAGTTCTACAGGAATGGATCTCTACACTGGCTATACATTGAATCACCAGAGGAACTTAAGAAAAAAAACACCAAAAAACTCAGGCTCCACCTCCAGAAAGTCTAATTGTTTTGTGATGAGTCTTCAGTTTAGGTAGTTTTATAAGGCCCTTCCCCTACCAGAGGTGATTCTAATGTGCAGCCAGCTTTAAGAATCACTGTGCTGGTTCATCTGGCTGCCTCACAGTAACATTTAAAAAGCAAAATTGAATTTAATGGCACCAGATGGTATTTGTTTATATTTGAGTTGTGGGGTAAAGCTATTCATCCTGACTTCAAGTTGCTCCCTGTGTGCACTCTCTAATACTAACCAGCCTGCCAGAGTTTATTTCTATAGACATATGGGCCACATAGATAATTCTTAATTATTAATTACATTAAAGAAGAATTTACTTTGGGACTGGCAAAGTCATAAAAAGATGAAATGGAATTGTTGAAGTTCAGCCATGTTTAAAGAAGGAAAATCTGCAAACGACTACATTTATATAGTATACCAGTTTTGAGTTATACTACTAAAGATGGTTTTTATATGGTAATTACATGATGTAATTACACAAGGTAATTAACCAGATCTGTTTTTCTGCATGTGAATAGTACGTTTGATTGATTTGGATAGTCAAGTTAAATCATCTACTGCAGCTTCTCTTCTAGGGCAGTTTTCATAGACTTGCTCTTGTGACTTTTAGGTTTTCTTCTTGAAAAGATTGTCTTTTTAATGTCTGGCACTTTTTTTTTTTTTAAGATTTTATTTATTTTTTTCATGAGAGACACACAGAGAGAGAGGCAGAGACACAGGCAGAGGGAGAAGCAGGCTCCTCACAGGGAGCCCAATGTGGACTTGATCCCAGATCCCGGGATCACGACCTGAACCGAAGGCAGGTGCCCAAACTGCTGAGCCACCTAGGCGTCCCTCATGGTGACTCTTAAAACTAAAGTAAACATATCCAAAAGTACATTCTACATATCCATTCCATCCAATAGCTAAAGCTTCTAACATTTTCTAGGCACAGTGCTTTCACCCTTCTGAGATTTTATTTACATTGCTTACCATGTCTGCTAAACCTTAGTCCCTTTGCCAGCTTCTTCTGTAGAAAATTTTTCCTTGGTTAATTCAGTGTCATCAAACACATCTTGCCATTCCACAATACAACCTATATAATAATACATACATGTGCTGTGTTGTTGTTTACATTAGTTGTTATATTCCTTAGGTTGTCCTAAAACAAGTTAACAAAACTGGGTGGCTTTAGACAGTAGAAATTTATTATCTCATCATTTGGGGTCCAGAAGTATGAAATCAGGGTACCTACAGATCCATATTCCTGCTAAAGAGTGTGGGAAGAATTCTTCTTGCTTTTTCCAGCTTCCCATGGTTGCTTGGTGGTCCTTAGCTTGTAGACTCATGACTCCCATCTCTGCTTCAGTCTTTGCATGGAGTTCTCTCTGTTTCTTCACATGGCTTTTCCAGAAGGTCAACAGTCACTGGATTTAGGGCCCTCATGACTCCAGTATCCCCTCATCTTAACTAGTTACCTCTGCAAAACCCTGTATCTGAATAAGATCACATTCTGTGGTTCTGGGAGGACAAATATTTGGGGGACATTATTCAAACTCGTGAAGTTATGCTAAGAATATGTAATGTTTTTCACACTTATTTCTGTTCTGTTTCTTCACTAGATTGTAAAGACTTCCAATAAAACAAGAAATTCAGGTTTTGCAAAGAGCATTTTCAAATAGTTGTATCTTTTGTGCTATCATACCTCAAAACTTTGTTACTTTCTCAATATGTTATGACATTAAAATGATGGCTAGTACATTTTCCATCTATTGGGGTAAAAAGAAATGTTATAATTTTGTATTTTTGCTATCTTTTAAAAATGCTTTCTCTCTCTCTCTCTTTTAAAGGACTGCAATATTCAAGAAAAAATAGATTTAGAAATTCGAATGCGAGAAGGAATATGGAAACTCCTTTCTCTGAGCACTCAGAAAGACCAGATCTTGCATGCGGTTAAAAATCTCATGGTATGCAATGCTCGAATAATGGCTTACACATTGGAGTTACAGAAATTAGAAGAACAGATTGCAAATCAAATTGGAAGATGGTTAGTAGCATGGTTTTTCCTATGGCTTTTAATGTACTCAAGTATTTGAATTAAGAACACAATATAATTTGACTTTAATGTGAACTATCAAATCACCAAAGCTTTTAAAAAATAAATGCACTAAAGTAGTCTCTGATATTATAACATTTTGGCTGTAGAACTCAGAGTATATGTTAAAGCAGCAGTTTTCACTAGGCCATTTTGTTGTAATCTAGATGGTAAAATGAAATGGTTAAGAAGCAAGAACTGAGGGAATATTTTGAAAAGGACCAAGACTGGGGCCTCTGGGTGGCTTAGTTGGTTAAGCCTCTGACTCATAGAGCTCTTCAGCTCAGATCAAGATCTCATTGTTGTGAGAATAAGCACTGCCTCCGCCTGGGCTCAATGCTCTGAGGAGTCTGCTTGAGATTCTCTCCCTTTCTGTCTGCCCCTATCCCCCCATGCTTCTGCATGCTCCCCTCTCTCTCTCTGAAATGATAGATAAATAGGGATGCCGGGATGGCTCAGTGGTTGAGCATCTGCCTTTCGCCAAGGGTGTGATCCTGGGATCCTGGGATGGAGTCCCACATCAGGCTTCCTTCCTGGAGCCTGCTTCTCCATCTGCCTATGTCTCTGACTCTCTGTGTGTGTGTGTCTCTCATGAATAAATAAATAAAATCATTAAAATAAATAAATATATAATAAAATGATAAATCTTTTTTTTAAAGGTCCAAGACTGATAACTGAGTATATAGAAATGTGAATTTTTTAAAAAATAAATTGCTTAAAAAATGCTAATAAAGAGGTGCTAGCTGAGAGTAATTGGAACTTAGGTATAGAAATTGAAATGCACACTCCTTTCATATGGTGAACATAAGCCCTAGAGAGGCAAGCAAACTTACTCAAGGACATGTCACAGGCTAGGGACAGAAGCTATGGAGAAGTTACTTAGGACTTGCTAAGTACCTTTTAGTCCTTGCTCTTTTGATTATTACTCTGTGCTGCCATTTGGTATCAGGTCTAGGATTTGTATATGAAATTTATATCCTGTCCTTTTTACAATACCAAGTCTTAACTTGAACCTAAAAACTGACACAGCTCAGTGACTAGATGTTAGTTTCTTTTCTAATGTAAATGTTCTTACAACACCAATTGTTGATCAGTTTAAAGCTCTAGCACTAGCGAAGAATTTCTCTTTATATGATAGTGGCCATTTTGCTGTTACCCCCACTAAATTCTTGAAACATACGATAAAAACACAGGTTACGAAAAGATTTTTGTAAAAATAAAATGTTGATGAGATTGTGATAAAATAAAGACTTGTGTACAAAGTAACTACTGTTTATTTTCAGTACTCCTTTTGGATAGCTATTTTCTCTGTGCCAGAGTTCCTTCAGTGTGGCTGGCAAGATAAGATTTACATTTTGAAAATTAAGATTATATTTAAAACCTAATCTGATACATTTTATATCATTATTATTTAACAAATGTCAAATTATTTTCATTATTATTTATCCCTGACATTATAAAATGAAATTACTCTTGTGTCACAATTTAGGAAAATATTTTTTCAGATGGACACACTGTGGTTTGAGTCAGTGTCTATCAAACTGGTTTGCACATATCAGTGAAAGTACATGACTATGTGTCAGGAGATATACAAAGCCATAGGATAAATATGGCAGGTCTTTTTTTTTTTTTTTTTTTTTTAAGATTTTATTTATGAGAGAGGCAGAAACATAGAGGGAGAAGCAGACTCCCAGCGGGGAACCTGATGTGGGACTTGATCCCAGGACCCCGGGATCACGACCTGAGCCAAAGGCAGACACGCCACTACTGAGCTACCCAGGTGCCCTGACAGATCTTTTTAAAACTATGAAGTTTTAGGATAAAACATGAGAAATTTGGAACTAAGGTATGATTTGGGTAATTCTATTCACAGGGATATATGTTCTCCCCTAGTCCTTTTTTTTTTTTTTTTTTTTTTAGATTTTATTTATTTATTCATGACAGACACACAGAGAGAGAGAAGCAGAGATACAGGCAAAGGGAGAAGCAGGCTCCATGCAGGGAGCCCGATGTGGGACTCGATACCGGGTCTCCAGGATCACACCCCGGGCATCTGAAGGCAGCGCTAAACCGCTGGGCCACCAGGGCTGCCCTCCCCTATTCCTTTTTAAGGACATTTTTTTAAGAGAGGACTGTTTGAGTGGAAGAGTTTGAGAAGCACTGGTTTAAGTACGGTGTGGCACTCAACACTTGCTATTATATCACCTCTCATGGTTACATGCAGTACTCCTCTAGGAATTCATATCTGTTTTCCATACTTATGTTCTTTACATATTTATAGTGAATTATGAATTGACCATTTTCTTAATTTGGTAGTATGACTTAGTTCTAAAGTTACCTATTTATGAAAATGTCAAATAAGCTTAATCCTTATTGGGTTTATATAAAAAAAGATAGGAAAAAATATCTGGGACTCTCAACTGGAAATGTGTGTGATTTTCAGTTACTGTAGGGATTATCCTCATTAAATGAAAATAGCTTTGCTGCTATACACACCTATTTGTTCATAATTCATATAAAAATTGTCTCCCCTAATTATAAAATTATTTATTTAAAGGAATCTGAGTAACCTCTATGAATTCTTTTGTCTACAATTCCATTTTGTTATGTGCATATATAACCTGGTATCACTGATCAAATATAACTGGAAATTATAATACTTCTTATTACATAAAAATGATCTAAATATTAAGGAGAGTCTTACAGTAGTTTTCAGTGTCCAGAAGAAAGTTATGTAAATTATGCCATTTCATTAGTCAATCAAATATTTACTGAATAGTACTTGTAGAACGATTATTAAGTACTGTGTTGGTGTATACAAATTCAAAGAACAGAATTTGTCAAAATATGAAAATATTTGTATATTAACAGTCAAATATTTTACCTTTAGAGACTCAGTAGCCTGTTCCTTAGCTTTGTTTGATAGTCTTTAAGGTAGAAAAATGCTTTGTCTTTATATTGTTATCAGAGTTAAAATAGCATTTTAATGAGTCTACTGGCCGGCAGCCCCGGTGGTGCAGCGGTTTAGCGCCACCTGCAGCCCGGGGTGTGATCCTGGAGACCCGGATGAGTCCAACGTCGGGCTCCCTGCATGGAGCCTGCTTCTCCCTCTGCCTGTGTCTCTGCCTCTCTTTCTCTCTGTGTCTCTCATGAATGAATAAATAAAATCTTAAAACAAAACAAAACAAAACAATGAGTCTACTGGCTACCTCTAGTCTACCTTCTCTAAAATTTTATTATAAAATGTCAAAAAATAAAAACAGACAATACATCTAGGCTTTGTCAAAGAAGAATCAAGTCAGAACGAAATGGTAGACTTGAAAAAGATCTGATGAAAGAATTGGATCTGAATCTTCTAGATTACGAAGGATGGATAAGGTTGGTTGGGAGAGTAGGAGGAAAGTTCACTCCAAGAAAGAAAAATAGCAAAATAAAAGCTCAGGATGAAAGATGACCATGAATTATTTAAGAGAAGTGAAGAGATGTATTTGGTTGAAGTTCAAGGTGAAGCCAGAGTTGAAAAACAAGGGGGAAGCAAGATTCAGGAAAGTTTAGAATGCTAGCTGGCAGGTTAAGAGTTATTAACTGACAGATTTCCAGGTCCCAGATATGCTAAGGTGTGCACAAATATTCCATTATAAACTGAGAGAGGTAGAAACCTCTTTATTAAAGACTTGGCAAATGGGATTTTGCAATATTAGATAATTGTTTCAAAGAACACACAGTGACTATGTGGCTAGGACACGAACCCTGATGACCTAAAAGCCTGAGTACTCCTCACTCATGTAGGAAGTCAATAGGTGTTAACTGACAGCCTTTGAAGTGCCAGATAATTGTGGTAAGGTGTTTGCAAATGTCACAATATAAACTGAGAGAGGTAGAAATTTAAATTCTTTTTAAACTTCCTAGCATGCTTTTTGTCACCTTCATGCCTATTCTTAGGTTCTGACTTTTGTTGGCCTCTACACTTGTCATGTTACAGATTGTCAATTATTGTTCCCTACTTTGTTTATAGGGAACTTTGTTTATAACTTTTTTTTAGTCAACTTTTAATTATGAAATTCATATGTAAAAAATACTAAGAATAGTATGATAAAAATTGTAAGAATAGTATATTCTTTACCTAGATAGACCAGTTAATAGTTTACCATATATATTCATCTACCCCCCCGTCTTTGTATTTGTACACATATGCATATGCACACACATTCATTTTTTATATTGATTCATTTGAAAATAAGTTGCAGACAACATAGCATGTACATCTCAATGGTTCTAAAAACATCCTGTTACAGAGCCAAAATATGATTATCATATATAAAATATTAACAGTAATTCCAATGTAATCATCTAATATTCAGTCTGAATTACTTTAAACTAGCTGTTAAAATCTTTTATAGTTGTTTTTCCCAAACCAGAACTCATCAAGGTTCATGTAGTACATGGTTGATTTTGACTGTTTTCTTTTAATCATTTTACTTTTTTATAAAGACTTATTGCCATTAACAGAGTCTATACAAAAATATCCTTTAAAAATATCCTGCATTTTTGGGACGTGTGGGCGGCTCAGTGGTTGAGCGTCTGCCTTTGGCTCAGGGCATGATCCTGGGGCGGGATCGAGCCCCACATCCAGCTCCCTGCGAGGAGCCTACTTCTCCCTCTGCCTATGACTGTGTCTCATGAATAAATAAATAAAATCTTTTTAAAAAATCCTGCATTTTCTATTTATTTCATTATCTCTTTATGGTATCATTGAAAACTTTTCTCCTGTTTTCTGTTTTTGCTGCACCTGGAATTTGGGTCTAAAAGCTTATTTGTAAGACTCAGGTTAAATATGTTTTTGGCAAGAATTTCTTTAGGGGAAGTTGGGTAAGATCAATGCTGCCAATGTGAATGTGATGGGATAATAACTGGCTCTATCACTGTACACTGCAGTTTGATCCCTTGGTTTG